TTTGGATGAGTCCTTTTACAGTTTTCAAGGCAAAGTGTTTCGGAAGTGGTTTGCCAGTGCCTCTTCCTAGAGCAAAGCCCAGCTGGCGAGCGCAGGAGGCAGGATTTCTGTTGGTTCGTGCCTTTTTCGGGTGAGCGCGGCTTCCGCGCTACCCGCAACTTCTTCTGACTCCCTTTTGCAAGGCGGCGGCAGCATTTTTCCTCCCACCAGCGTGAGAGTATCCATTTATCTACTCACGTAAGTTTTCAAACTGTTGGATTGACAGGAACTGGGGGAGGAAGCAAGAGCTCCCTCTGCTGCGCGAAGCTGGGCTCGAACCGCTGAACTGTGGACCATTTCTGGCCAGCATCTTTCAGCGTCATTAAGCCGCTGCACCACCGTGAACACAGAAGGGCATATCTTCAGGATGGAAGTCCCCCTCCCTCCCAGGGTCCAGCCAGGTCTCAGTTGTACTTGCTAAGTCCAATACGTCATACATGCTAGGTTCAATAAGATCATAAATGAGGTAAAAACCTTATTACAATCCGACCTGGTATTAGCAGTAGCAACTAGAGCCCAGGGCCACTCAGCATCCAGTCACCTGGAACTAGGAGTAGGTGTTAGAAGGCAGGACTGGTTTTAAACAACAGATATTGAAAAAGTGATCCTAAGTAAAAAGTGATAAGGAATATGCCACTCCTTAATTTTTTTAAAAAAAAAGTAAGGATTGTGCCATGACCACTGGCTGCTGAAACCAATTTCTGGACACACTTCAAGGGTAGCCTCAGGTAAAGTATATTGCTTTTGTATAGATTGGTATAAGGTATTTATTGACCCTGTTGCTCCTATTCTCTTAGAGGCTTACAAGAATGTGTTTTTGTATAAAACTTTCCCCTCTTCTTTTAATTATGCTTTTATGTGCATGATTTTGAAGATTGGAATCCATGTACACATTCCAAAGGGATTCCATAGTATCAAATACCAAGAATCAAGTATCAAAGGATACCCTAGTATCAAACACCACTGAGAGGTCTAACAGGACTAGGAAGGCCACCTTCTCTCCCTCTAGGTCCCAATGAAGATCATCTATAAGAGTGACCATGTTCACAAGAGTGATCAGATGTTTAATATTCAATTAAAACATTTTTAACTTCACAACTTGGCTGCATCCAAATTATTAATAACCTAAATTATTAATAATAATTGGAAAGAGGTTTGGAGATGAGAATAAGAAGGGAATATGTCTCAAGTGCCAAGTATTTCACTGTGTAAATGAAATTACTTTGGCACAGTCTTCTTTAGTATCATGATGTCTTAGATGTGCCCTTGACCAAGGAATTTTTTTTTAATTAGTAATTTATTTGTTAAAACATTTAAAGAGCAGAATAAAGTAACTACATAAAAGAAAAAAAGAAAGTGGAAAAATACATAGTGGATGAAGAATAAAATATCAGTAAATAAACAAAGGATTTACAATTATGGTAAAATTTGAAATTAATTATTTCATCATTTTTCTAATTAAATATTTATATCTTCTTAAGAAATAACTAAAATCTCTGTCAAACTCTAAACTTTAATATTGGTATCACCACTATTGAGCGTTGTTCCAAAAATAAATTATATAATTTATTTATATAATTATATAAAGGGGTAATTATATCAAAAGGGGAAAGGGGGGAAGAGAAAAAAACATTAAAAAAAAGAAATTAAAAGCAATATTAATATGTTAAAAAGGAGAAAAATCAGTAAAAACAATATTGAGTTCTAAATTCTCTCCCATTGTACCCGACGGGTGATTGCATCAATATATTTATACACTTTATGTCAACTATTTCCCCCTTAAAACCTGTGCTCCAAGTCTCAGTTTGCCTTGTTGTGTGACATATGATATATAGGGAAGCCATTCTTGCAACAAAGGAATTTCTGAAATGTGTTGGGCTTTTACACAATGAAAACAAAAAACAAGAATCAATGGCACGTGAAACATTCTCCCTGCTTTCCCCCTCAATCCTCTGAGAAACTAAACTCTGCCCTTCATCTAATTCTGACTGGCCCTCCCTGAGGCCAAGCCCTTGCTCCTCTTTGCATCTCTTTGTCCTTCTTGTAAGCCAGGGAGGCCACTTTCCTGCCTTCCTCCATTTAAATCTAAAGCACAGGCAGGCCAACAGGCCAGCAAGACA